TATGTTTCCAGGAATTTATCCATTTCCCCTAGGTTTTCTGGTTTTCAGCATATAATTGTTCATAATAGTCTATGATGATCTTTTGTATTTCTGTGGTATCAGTTGTAATGTCTTCTTTTTCATTTCTGATTCTGTTTCTTTGGATCTTTTCTTGTCTTAATTAGTCTTGCTAGTGGTTTATCAATTTTGTTTATCTTTTTGATGAACCAAGAGGTTGTGATTTTAAGTAATTATTAGGAAAGGCCGCACCAAAATGAGATGACTTTTGAGCAAACACTTTAAAGACATGAAGAAGCTAATCATACTGATCATGAGGATACCCGTATGTTCAAAGGAGTATTCCATCTAGAGGAAAAGTAATTGCAAAGTCCTTGAGGTGGGACTCTTCCTGGTGTATTTGAGATACAACAGGAAGGCCAGTATGGCCGGATTGAAGTGAATTATGAGAGGAACAGAAGGAAATGAGGTCAGAAAAATTGGGGAGATTTGGCACAAATTTTTTTATGGCTTATAGTCCATTGTATGAGTAGATTGTTAACTATGGCACAGGAAGCCACTGGAAGGTTTTGAGCAGAGTTAGATCTGAGTTACATTTTAAAAGGATCACTGGCTGCTGTAATAGACTATAGGGGGCCTGAGCAGAAGCAGGGAGACTAATTAGGAGGCTCTTGCAATGAACCAGGCAAGAGAGAGAATGTGGCTTGGACCAGGCAACAGAAAATATAGAACCAAAACAAAAAAAGAATAAGACAATAATTCTGTGTTTTGAAGATAGATCCACCGACATTGGCTGACAGATAAATATGGGATATGAGAGAGAGGAAGACACCAAGGTTTTAGGCCTGAGTAGTTGGAAAATGAGGTTATTAGGAAATAAGATGAGGAAGACTGTGGGAAGATCCAGTTCTAGGGGGAAAGATCAAGAGTTCAGTATGTTGGGTATGCTTCAGACATCCAAATGGAGATGGCAGGTTTGTTGTTAGATGTATGAGTCTGGAGTTCAGGGGAAAGAAGTCTTGACTAGAGGTATAAATTTGGAAGTGTTCAGTACATGGATTGTATTTAAAGCCTTGAGACTGGAGATCACCAGGGTAGTGAATATAGATAGAAAAAGAGAAGAGGTCCAAAAACTGAGCCCTGTGCTTGGACATTCCATCATTAAGTCAAGAGATGAGAAGGAATCAAAAAAGAAGACTGAGAATGAGCAGGCAGCAAAGTGGGAAGGAAGTTTGGAATTTAGGGGAGTGTGGAGTCCTGGGAGCTACATGAAAAAGTGTTTCCTGGAGAGTAAGTTGTCAACATCATCAGTGATGTAATGACTCAAGTAAGACAAGGAGTGAAATGGATCTTTGGATAATTTTATTGACCATTGGATATCAGTTATTTATAACTTGCAGACTTTAGAAATTTACTTTTCTGATTCTTTCCTGTCTGTTTCTGTCCCTAAATTGTGATAACCTGGTTTGGGAGAAGAAGTGGAGTTAACAAGACAGAATTTAGAAGGAAGGTGGATGATATCATGGGAGACGTTTATGTGTTTTGGAGGCCTATAAGGTGCTGGCATTGTTCTACTTCTTGACCTGGGTGATGATGATTCAGATGTTAGCTTTATAATTATTCCTTAGACTGTGCTTATATGTCTTATGCACTTTTTTGTATGTATGTTAAATTTAGCAAAAAGGAGAAACAGAAAGTTAAACATAAATTAGTTTTCTCTATTGTTGGTTGCTAACATTGAAGATTTTATTCTTTATATGATAACATTGTGCAGAATTATTTTTAAAAAGTTCAATCTCCATAAATGATTGGATTCTAAAATCATTTTGTTTTTCTTCTCTAAGCCCTTATGCAACTGGAATCTATTTTAAAGAAAATCATAAAGGAACGAAAAGGAAGGAATTTTGGTCAACATATTTTCATTGACTCCTTAGTACAGGGGAACCTTAATGACCAACAGGTGATGTGACTGTTAAATGTTTATCAAATAAAAAATAATCACACATGTATACAGTGTGCTTTTTATTTACTTTAATCCAGATACTTTCCTAGAATTCAGTGTCTTCTCTTCTCTTTTATTGTACATCATAAGTAGTATAAGCACTTAGTCTCCTGTTATTTAGCTTGTTGAAGCATCTGTATATTATTTAATATTTGGGTAAGCAAATATTGAGCTAAAATACTCTGGTCATAAAACAAGAAGAACTTACATAAGCCTTTATAGACTAAGTCACTGTGCCTGCGTGACCGGGTATGGCAATTTGGCTTATCCACAGTACACATCAGCACACCGCTGTATTTGTGGTGTTGTCAGGCAAAAGACAGGAATGGAATCATTATTGCCACATCTGTTCATTGTGGGAGTCTTCTGCCCCACTCTACACATACAAGTCCTTGTGGCCAGAAGTGATTTTCTGGGTGTGTTTTGGCCCAGAAATTGAATCAGGCTTCTAGGACAGTAGCAAGATCTTCTCCACTATTCCAAGGCTTTATTGTTACACCAGGCCAAATCAGAAACATAGGACTGAGCCAATCTGTTTGCCAAAGTGTATCATAAACCAATAATATTAGCAAGAAATAACCCTGATTTGATCATTATACATTGTATACATGTATCAAAATATCACATGTGCCCCCAAAATATGTATAACTATGATATATCAATAAAAAATAGACACACACACAGTGCAGTATTTAGGTTGGTTTTCTCATACAGATTTTGTTTTAATGAAAACATCATAAAGAAATAATATACTTTTTTCCTTTCATTGACCCTAATTTTATACTCTATAGATTATTTTAGCAGGGCTTAATTTAGGCCCTTGCATTTCACACTTTCTAAACTTAGTTTTGTTTCCTAGATCCTAGAAGACAGTATGATATTTTCTCTGGCCGGTTGCATAATAACTGCAAAATGTAAGTATAAATTGA